CAGCCTTTCCTGCTCAGACTCAGCTTTGTCTCACAGTTCTTCTGGAAGATTCTGAGGGTTCGAGCCTGAAGTGCAGAGTGAGACTCAGAGTGAAGACTGAGTCTGTTGATGCACCCACAGCTTCACTAAAACCAGAATATCTGACATGATCTCATGTCTCTGTGAACACATCATCATGTTAAAGTGAACGAGCCAGATGTGGACGTTAAAAAAAGCAGGTGAGGTCACATCAAAGCTAAAGGGAAACACACCTGCAGTCAGCTCAGAATCAGCTGACCCTAACAGGCATGTGTGAGCACGTCAGAGGACCCAGAGAGTGCAATCATAAAAAACATGATGCACCACCCTAACCCCCATGCTACACCTCCTCCACCACCAATCAGCTTCAGTCTCTGTTCTTCTCACTGACCTGATGTTTTTGCTTTTGTGTTTTTGCTTTTGTGTTTTTGTGTTTTCAGACAGACAGAAACACTTTGTGTCGTCTTTATTGGATCCATCACAACCAAAGAATCAACAGGAAACTGCTCAGACACAAACTGAGACTCTGCTTTGATCCAACATCACCAACAATGATGTCATTGATGATGTCACTGATTAAACTGATACACTTGTGCGTCCTTGAGCAGCAGGACTCTGAATTATTGCTGAACAGATGATCGTCACTGTCTCCACATTGGCACGCCGCTCTGAACTCTGCAGGACGATCTGTGTGTGTTTGTTGTACACAGTGACAACACTCGACCCGGCCCGAGCGTGTCACTAGGTGTGGGCGGGCTCACGGTGCAGGTACGCCTTCATGGCAGAGATGAGCTCGCTCTCCTCCTCCAGTGTGAGGTCCAGGTAGTCCTCCTCGTGGGGGGCGATGTCCTCGAGCACCTCGCTCACCAGCTCGCTGTCCTCTGGAGGGTCACACAAGCAGATTTTAGATCATGTGACTTTTCTTTACTAGAAATGTGTTTTTGTCTTTATGTTTTTTTATTGATTCTATTTTAAACATTTAATCTCGGACTGACAGTCTGTGTGAAATCACACCTACACCTCTGAGGTACATTCCTCAGCTCGTCTGGTCACTCAAGCTTTCTATTGGACGATGATGGGTTTCTAAACCACATGACCGTCCTCACTGAAGCCCCATTGGCTGGTTCGGTTAGCATGTTTTCACAGTGACTGATGAGATGAAGATGAACCTGCTCTAAACGAGTTTCACCCTGTGAGCTCTCAGTTTCAGAGAAAAGCAAAGAGACGTCTGTAGTTTCCATACTCGTCAGATAAAACGAGTCACAGAGACTGAGGAAGACGAAAGGTCTAATCTGGCAGCTCAGGTCCTTACAAAGGATGAGCAGATCTGCTGAAATCTGCCTCGTTCAAACATCGACACTTCCTGTTCTGTAACTTTGTTTTGTTTATGCTGGATAAACGAAGGGCGGTTCTGTTACCCGGGGAGCTGGAGGCGGAGCTGGGCTCCTCTGAGGATGGTGTGGAGGATGTGGAGGATGTGGAGGGCGGGGTCAGCAGCTCCGGGGAGAGGACGCCCTGGTTGTCCAACAGCAGCTGTGTCGCTGATTGGACGTCTCCACCTGTCAGTCTGAGCGCCGCTTCAGCCGAATCCCGCTCGAATCCCAAATACAACAGCTGGAGGGACAGAAAGAGAACAGCTGGAGGAGAACAGCTGGAGGAGACAGAGTTGGAGGAGAGCAGCTGGAAGAGAGCAGCTGGAAGAGAACAGCTGGAAGAGAACAGCTGGAAGAGAACAGCTGGAGGGACAGAAAGAGAACAGCTGGAGGAGAACAGCTGGAGGGACAGAAAGAGAACAGCTGGAGGAGAACAGCTGGA